ATGAATGCATTAGAAATGTATTTTTCTATTCTTACTATAGCTTGAAGGAAATATCAGGGCCAAGGCATTATCTCTAACTGCTCTCATACCAGTAGTGTAAAGGTAGCTTTTTTATGATTGATTCTTTAAAACTTAGCCTAATTAAAAACAAAAATGTTAATGTATATCTGATTTCTATGGACTGCATATTTAATTGCATGAATAATTGTAGACATTTAAGGCTAAACACTAAACAATTTCATGAAAAATGAGGACAAAAGCTTTCCTACTGTAGGTTGGCCAGTATTTTTCTCTGTTCATGCATAAGTTTATTGCTGATATGGCACATTGCATCTTCTTTTTTACTACTGGGTTTTTACTCTGTAATAATCTGAATGATACTAGCCCACTTTTGTGAGTTAGATGGATAGGCTTATCCCAGTGTAAGGAAATAAATGGGAATATTCCTGTGTTAGGTTCAAACACATTCCCTGGTATCATCAAGGGCATGTTTGGAGAAAAACCTTGTGTTTGTATAGAGATGGTAAGTGGAGCAGTTCATATTCTTAGTTATGTTGTGCCCTCTGGCAAGCCTGCCAGGAGAGTGCTGTGCTTGTTTTGTGAAGAGAAACCTCTTCCACATTCCAGCCTGAGCATATCTATTGTTTCCAGACATAAACAGATGTCTTCCTTACCTAAGGGAAGCTCTCAAAAATCTGGAAGTAAAACAGAAGAAACTGATGTGAAACCACAACAGTATTTGACCTGTCTGCATGCATTAATAATCTCAACTTTATCTGAAGGCAGAGTTCTGTTGCATTCAGTTTTATTTATTTGCATGGTTTCTGCCCTGCAGTATGGAAGAAGAATAAAGAATATTAGTATTAATTTAATTTTTAAAATTTCGATTAGGATTTTGTTAAATACATACATGCTTATTAAGTCACTCAGAGTCTTTAAAAGCAAGATAGTTCAGAGTTGCTTAAGAAGAGCTGGGAAAAGGGGGGTAAACATATTCTTCATTCTGCCAAACTACCCTCTATTTCACAGGTCAAAATGTCAAAATTTGTGATGAGATCAAGCTATAGATCCAGAGCAAAGCTTTTTTCTAATAATTGTGACAGAGTGAGTGAATTTTATTTGCATCAATCTTGGCTGACTGCTAACAAAATGCATATTTGGGGGAGTTTTTTATATCTATACATTTACTTTCTGTGACAGGCTGATCTATCTTTTCCAGCCTTAGACAAATGTCTGTAGCACATTCAGATGTGTTACAGTTTAGCTGCCTGTGGGAGGTAAGATAACAACCCCAAGTAGGTCAGGTTTACAACTCCTTCATGAAGACAAGGCACACCATACTTTACATTTGAGACTCATCTCCTTGGGTGCCTTCTCTGTTTCCTCACCCACCTATGCCATGGTTACAACACAGATTGTATGCTGACATCAAAGCAATGCTAATACTGAGTAACTACTAGGAGTACTGAGAAAAAGTACGGTGTGCTCAAGGACAGCAGGATAAGCGTATTGGTGAAGGGGAAGAAAGGGAAGTTTGAACACAGTGCAAGAACAAAGGAAGTGGAGAACTTTTTGAGTGAGGTGCAGTGCCCCCAGCAAAGCCCTGTACTGGAGCCAGGTCTGCAGCTGCTGGGAAAGCCACATGTCCCAGCACAGCAAAGGCTGATCCAGCATCTCTCCAGCCACACTGCAGTGACCCTGGTGCTGCCCTTGCTGCTTGTGTCGTAGTGCAGACACAGCTGGGTTAGACCTGGGTCGGGCATCTCCTTGCAAGGTTACATCCAGTTGCAGAAGTAGCAGCTGGGATGCAGCAAACCTTATGTCATAGTAAACATGCCAAGAAATTTAGATGTTTTTAATTATCATTTTTTAAGTCAGAGGCACCTGATGGTCAGATTAGAATCAGATCATGACTCCTCAGTCCTGGAATGATGAAAGTGTAGTTAGTTCTGAAAGAAGGAAAGAATGATAATCTAGAGCAAGGTATGGCAAAAAAAAAAAAAAAAAAAAAAAAAAAAAAAAAAAAAAAAAAAAGATGGAAGGATTCAAGAAATGAAAAGCAAATTTACTTTTAACTCTTGTAAAATTTAACTGCAAGTAGCCTCTCATGCCCATAAAACTCAGTGAGTCATAATTTAAAATAAGAGACTAAATATCACTAAAACTACTCAGAGATAGAAGAATTTAATCTGTGTCATTCATAAGTAAACTATACAATTCAATTTGCTCATAAAGCAGACAAGGTTTCCAGTAGAAATTCTTAAGAATTATAACTATCACAATAGACTGCTATCTTTGATTTTATTTGTTGTTTCTGAATGTGCATCATCTTGGTTTCTATGCTACGGTAGTGTGATTCATATCTTGTGGTTAGGAAGACTGACTTTTTGTTTCTGAAGTTTCTTCTGTGAGAAAACATCTGCTGAAATGTAGGTAGTTTGTGGTGTGTGGATGAAATATGTTCTTTATAACCTCCTGCAGTAAGGACAGACTCGTCACAAGTAACAACACTATTCTCACAGCTGCACTCTTGGCACATTATCCCCTAATAACACAATCAAATATTTTTTCTATTTCAAAAGACAGGTGTCTTGTGATATTTATATATATATGTATATATATATATGATTTGTATAATTTCCAGGTTGTAGATGCATACATTATTTTTGTTGCAGAGAAGACTATTTCTACAATTTAACATTTTATAATCAAAATTGAAATTCCAAAAAATTTAATAATTTTTATTACATAGAGCAAAGCCTCCTTACAATACCAAGAAATACTTGTTTAACTGGAAATTCAGTTTCAAGTCCTACGAGCAGAGAGGTTTTCTTATCCAGTTGCAGTTTATCAGACTGAAGTGGGAACTGCCTGTCATGTTACAACATGAGTACTCATTAACCGGAGCTCCCTACTACTGGTGGCATCTCTCAAGATTCCAAATAGAGTTCATATAGCTAGACTGGAAATCCACACTTTTTCATCCCTATGCTTCTCTGCTCCCTTTCACAGCTGGAGACAACTCCCAGAAGGAGTGGCCCCTTACAAACCCATCATGTGATCAAGCTTGTGTGAATTCTTAGAAAAAAATAATTAGCATGCTAGCTCCTAGAATATTACAGATTTTTCTGTGTACAACTATTCAGCAGACACTAAGGCCAACATTTCATGTGCTTTGTTAGATATCCCAAGCAACTCCACTGCAATTATTGAGACCAGAGGCATAATGCTGCAATATTTGCCACATACATCACTCTAGATAAATAAATATTCATTCAGTCAACTAACATGGGTAATTTCATACTCAGCCTTCTCTTTTCCCTGTTTTTTCAGCCTCGCACACTTAACAGAAATTTCACAGGTCTTCACAATCCCTCCCACCCCAAATGCCTCAGGTATACATACTCTCCATGCTAAATTTATAATATAAAATGCAATTGAAAATAAATTTTCCCCAATATCACAATAACATGCAACATGGGAAAAACTTCTTTGACCAGAAGAGAGAAAAATAGAGTGTCTGAAAATAGTCCTTTACTTATTTAAATAAGTATTTAAAATCAATGTTACATATAGTATGTTCACTTGTCCATAGAAGAGCTCATCTTCCTTTCTTAATTTTAAAAATTAAACTGCATTCTAGTTTGTAGAGAATATGGCATATTAAAGTGTGCATATATACCCTGGCTGGTTCTTTAAAACATGTGAAAATGGATTCCCACAGCTAAGTAGTTAATGTAACAGATGTTTTATCTCCTTCTAGACTGCTTTCTTTCCTTTGGCTGCTTCCTACTATGAAAAGCAGAAATATGCATTATTTTTGATAAACAGCATGGTATTCAAAGACTGAAGTATTCAGCTGTGATTCTAAGAAATACTATTTAATCATTGGTTAGGACTTTCATACTGTGTTTGTGTTGCACCATGATTTTCTCTAACTACTATTCTTTGGATTTCTTTCTTTTTTCACAGTTAGAAATGGAGCTCAATTTTGCACAGTTTATAGGCGTATCCTATATGTTTTCTTGATATTAGCCAGCACTAAAAGAATGCTTTTGATTTGAGATGCTTGAAGGAAGCGGTCATAGAGTAAAAGTGGGTGTTCCCCTGTTCTCTGACATTTTAATAAGCTGAGCTAAGCTTGACAATTATATATTCCTCTTACCTCAATGGGATTGCTCTTTCATGGAAGTCATCCGATGTTCTTAAGAGGGAGGGTCCCTTGGACAGGGAACTGACAGTCTGATCAGCATAACATTCACTGTGTCTACATCCAACTGTGACCTGATTCAAAGCCCTTTACAGAACTTACATTGCTGGTAACATTTGGGGGAGTCATGTTTCTCTGTTTGCTTCTAATTTTTTGTACAAACTAGTCCTGGTTTCAGCTGGGATTGTGTTAGTTTTCTTCCCAGTAACTGGTACTACTGTGTTGTGCTTTTTTCATTCAGTGTGAGGATAATGGAGACAACACACTCATATTTAGTTGTTGCTACATAGTGCTTGCTCTTAGTCAAGGCCTTTGACTCATTCTCTTCTGTTAAGCAGGTGCACAAGAAGCTGGCAGGGACCATAGCCAGGATATCTAGCTTAAGGATGTTCTGCATCATAGAACACCATTTCTAGTACATAAACTGGGGGGAGTAGGCTCAGAGGGGCTGATAGGTGCTCAGGGATGAGGTGGGCATTGGTCAGCAACTGGTGAGCAATTATATTGTGCATCACTCATCTTCCTTGGGTTTTATTTCACTCTCTTTATTGTTATCTCCCTTTCCATTACTATTATTACTGTTGTATTGTTATAATATTCTATCTTATTTCAATTATTAAGCAGTTCTTATCTCAGCCCACAAGTATTAACTTTTTTCTGATTCTTCTTCCCACCCCACCATGGGTGGGGGGTGGTGAGTAAACAGTTGCTTGGTACTTAGTTGCTGGAAACATAATGGCTAACACACCAGTTATTAAATTTTAAACTATTTTCCCTTTTTCTTTTTTGGTAGATATGGGGCTATTTGGGAAGGAAAATGATTCATTAGTGTCTCTGTGTGGAGAAAAAAACCTCTTAAACAGAGGAGTCCAGAAAAAATATAGTGGGAGGAGAAATTACACTGAAGATTTTGTCACCTTCAGAAACGATGTAGTTTCAGATCTGTATTTCACTCTTTGGTTGTATCAGTGAATACCTGGTATTGAAATAAAAACATGACTCTTCAGTTGTGGTTGGATTTCCGTCATTTTATCTGATTAGCAAATATAGAAAGGTCTTGTCTATCAAGTGGTTTAATATCTCTGTGGTATAAATGTCAAGTAATGGCAGAAATCTTCACTTCTGTGCTGATGTACCTGAGTGTTTAACTCTGACAAAAAACGGTAAGGGAACAACCCTTGTCTAGATTTGAGGGATGAGCAGAACACAAGAGCAACACTTAAGGCATTACTAGACATTTTGGTCTGAAATATATCCAGCCAAATTCACACTGTGCAGTGGTAGGGGTGTATAAAAAGGAAAGGAGGGATGGTGGTCAGCCACCCTTGTAGAGATGTTTTAGAGCCTAAGAATGTCAAATTGAAATATCAACACCAAAACAAAAGTGCTTTGCTGCAATATCAGTGTCAGCATGGTGACACTGAATGCAAATTTGCCTTAAAAGATTAACAATTTCTGCTCACTATACATCCACTCAAGTATAAATTTTAGAGTAACAATAATAACCACCTTTTCCCCCAAAGAAGGAGGGCAATTGTTTTAAAGAAGGCAACTTTAGAAATAAATGCTGCTCTTATTTATCAAGTCTGGTAAAACAGGGTGTAATTGGAGAGATGAAGGAAGAATTCCCTCAACACTTAGGTAGACTTCTGGCACATGAAGGGAGAGGTCTGACTTTCCCCCTCAGGAAACCAGTGGAGTCCCCAGCACAAAGAGCTTCCCTGGGAGTTAGGGCAGGTAAACAAGGTCTCTGGACTATGAAGGATTCTGACTGCAGGAAATGTCTCATGAACCCCACTGAATGGTAGTTTCTTTTCTCTGTGAGGTCTAAACAGCTTCTTACCTTTCACCAGGGACCACGGTGCCTTTTAGCACAAACTAAACCTGACAACTTGAAAGAAGCAAAAAGCTCTGCTCTCTGAATCTTTTGACCTGGTCCTTTATACTGTAATGTCCCAAGGCAAAATTCCTTATTTCTTTGCCACTAGAAAATGTTTTGCACTTCAGAGAGACCTTTGAGTTCCTTCAACCTGTACAGAAGCTGTGGATTTGGGGAATGACTGAGCGAAACTGTCTCCCACATTGTCATTCTGCTTTGTTTTTTTTTTTGGGTTTTTTTTTTTTTGTTTGTTTGTTTTTGTTGGGGTTTTTTTTTTGTTTGGTTTGGTTTGGTTTGGTTTTTTTGTTTTTTTGTTTCTTGTATCTGTGAAGCCACTGACTTGTGATCTGACAAAATAGAAATAACAGCTTCTCTTTTTGGTTGATGGGTGGATTTCTGCGATGAGCATAAGCACCTACCCAGTGCAGACATGGAGGGCAATGTTGATGTGCTAATGCTCAGAGCAGATGGATGAGTGAAGCAGACATTTTCATGATAAACTTAAGAAAATTTGTGATCATAGGGTTAAGAGACTAACACTAAAATCAGAGGCTAAGCTGATGAAAGATATGGAATGAGAGGGTAGACAACTTGCCCCTGCTAAAGGACAAAGGTGCCATGCAGACTCACCTCTTAGAGTGTGGTGGCAGGAGCAATCCAAACCCAGTGTGGCCACAGGACTTACAAGAGGGAATTGTGGACCTAGTCACTTGCCTGAGGTCAAAGGTTCCCTAACAGAGATGTAAGAGTGCACAATTACAAGCAAGTCAGGCTGTGCAAATTTTTGTTGCCTGCAGCTGGGAAAATATAAAGTCATGTTTTCAATTTACAATTTGCTCCTGGCATTGCTGATAATACTTAAGCAATAGTTCTTAGAATAATTTACTCATCATGCTCAGATTTGGCTCAAGACTTTTCTTGTATTTGTATATATTTAGAGTTGCTCATACCTAGAGTTTGTTTAATTACAGCTTTTGAATCTGTTCACCTTAGAATTGCAGACAGCCTTTTATTTAAAGTATCAGTAGGAACATAATAAACAAATAAAGAAAAATAATCAAACATAACTGCCTTTAAACAGATCCACATAATGTTATATTGGATAGCTCATCAAAATTAAAAGTGCTTAGAAAAGAGTGATTATATTATGACAGTTAAAGCCAAATGTTTTCAGCTTCTTATTGGAAATATCAAATTGCATCATGTTACTGCTTTAATCCCATTAGGGCTTAGAGAATATTAGTTTATTCACAACCTTCTTTCATCTAACACTAGACAAAACCCTGCATTAAATCATTATTCAGAGCACCTTTGTTATTTTAGATCCTAGTTCCAAGTTTCTCACTCCCACTGAAAGTGGTCTGTTTTAATAACTGACAATAATATTAGTATTTCTAGAAAATTAATAAGAACATTTATTTTATTTTTAATGTAATTAATTATATATTAATAATCTCAGTTGTTTTCAATTTCAAGAGACATGTGTTTTTAGCCTTCTGGAAACTAAGGTTTTGGAAAGTGATACTTAGGGTTATATTCAGTCATATTACAAGTCATGCTTATTTTGTGGTTCACCCTTTTCCCAGAAGCCTCATATTTTATCCTTTCCATATTGTTATCAACACAGAATCTTTCTCAGTCCCCAGAAGGCTTGTTTTAAGCTACTTGTTTGCAGTTTGTTTCAAATTTTTTCCTACAATATCCTTCCATGCTGTACAGAGCAGCTACTCACCAGATGCCAGATGCATGAAGTGCTCTTCAGTTGGCTCCTGTCCTCAAAATTACTGATTTCTATGCCAAACAAATTTCTAATTTTTGGACTTCATAGCTGTTGATTGTGCTGTTACCTCAAGGCAGTTGTTACTGGAAACAGTCCAGGCATCAGTGACTACTGTCACAAAACTTTAAAAAAATTCTCAATCCCTTTCTCAGTCCCTTTCTCATGTATTTTTCCTGGAATGTCTAAGGCTGAGCAACCAAACCTTAGTAGCAGTAGGTAATTGTGGAAGCAGAACTTGCCGCAGAGCTCATGTGTGGCTTTCATAATCTTTGAGACCTACATTTCAACAGCTTCTTTTACATCTTAAGTAATGTTCTTTTATTATATTTTTCTCAGAAATTATTAAACCTGTATGATACTGTAGGTATAGTTCATAGAAATTACTTTCTTGGCTACTGCATCAGGCCCTTTTTATCATCTCAGATGATGAAAAATGTATAAAATTATGGCACAGTTTCAAATATTCTCCATAGCTAAGGTGTCTTACAGGTGACATCTTGAGGACTCTCCTACACATTATAAGTCATAGAACTGAAAAATATGAAGATAGGACTGCTTAGTGTAAAATGCTACACATTACTGAGCCTAAAGGAAAAACTCTATAGTGCAAAAAAAGATACCAATAATGTTTTTCTACATTTGTATATATCTATTATGACACTGCCTTCAATTACATGATCATGATCATGGCATGATCTTTATGCTTATTCTGATCTCTCAAGATTTACATACAAAGGAAGATTTAAGGTTTCTCAAACAAATGTAAATGCTAGAATTTTTACTGTCTTCTTTGCAGTAAACTATAATTTATTATATTTTTGTATGTAATAGTGGTAGATATGATGGAAGTATCTTTCCTAGTTTAAAAATTATTAAACCTGCTTATCAGTTTTCTTGGATTCGTCTCCCTTATTCTAATTTAGGTCTTAAAAGCCTCTTTTTTCCAACTTCTTCATATCCTACAGCAGATGTTTTGCTGATCCTTTTCTCAGAAAAAGCAGAGAACATAAAAGCAACTACTCTGCAGGAGCACAATCTGATCCCTTTAAGGGCTTATTTTAAACCTCCCATCGGAAGGATTTTGTGGGAAAGCACCTGAGGAGTGAATACTTCTGATTTGCAGGGGAGCTGCTTCCTCTTGTGAAGTGATGATTAGAGCAAGATGCTGGGGAGCTGGCCATCCCTCCTGTTGTTCCAGTCACAGGAACTACACACAAGGATGGAGCACAGGCTAGAATATAATATTTGACAATATTCATTTAATGAAAAGCCCATAGAGAAATTCCACAGGTAACATACATACACACCTGTGTTGGGTAAATCATTGAATAATCCCTAAAATAAGCATCAAGGTAGAGCTTGCCAAAAACGACTGTTGTTCATTTGCCTGTCTGCATTTCAATTCATTTTACAGGAGACTCTTCTTGGTGTGAATTATTTAGAGTTAACATAGATATCTTATTTTTTATCTGATGCAATGCATTAAAAAGAAGTTGGATAATCTAATCTATAGCCCATTATGTTTCTAAATAAAATTATCAAATAAAGTTATTTTAGTTTGTATGCTGACTGTTCTGCTTTAGGGTCTAGCTTCCTCAGTGCTAACAGGATGTTTACAGGTGTTCAGTCTTCTCCATGCCAGCCCTGCAGGTCAACTACATCAAACAGTTTTAGACACAGATGTGAATAAGAGAATTTACCTGCTATTTATTTGTATTGTTTCTTAGGAAAATACAGAATATTCTTGGGTGGTGGCTAAAGAAATTATGTTTTCTCTCTTACATGTTAGCAGACATAAAAGACAAGATAAATGACGTGTTCATCGAGTTGTCATATCCACTGAGACATTTCATCTGAGAAAGTCCTGAAAATGTATTGAAATGCATCCCCACCTAGGAGTGTAAGTCCATGTGTAGTTGGTTTTTTTGCAATGATTCTTCTTTTTCCTCAGAGGTCAGTGTGTATATGATCAGTATTCCTGAATGGAGGTACCGTTTTCATTCACAAGTTAGAAAGATCTCCTGCAAAGAAAAAAGGTTAATTATTTAGATTCTCACATGTATAATAAAGATTATTAAGTACAGACAGGCCTTAGCCAAAACGCCTACCAGGTTTTTTGATGTGAGTTTTTAGGTCAGAGCCAGTAGACATACAGATGTTTTCCTGTCTGGATTTGAATGTGTGTAAATCCAGAGATTGTTTGAATCTCAGGTTTGGATCTTAATTTTCCATCTTTACCCATCTTTCTAAATAGATTTTTTAATCTTGCTGCACCAAAAAAAAAAAAAAAAAAAAAAAAATTTAAAACTGGCCTTTAGGAACCAATTGTGAGGCAATGGGACAGATCCTTTCAAAGTTAAGAAAAAAACTACAGCTACAATTTAGAAGTGCACTGTCAAATTTTTATTATTTATAGATTAAATATTGCTTCAATTTCTTGTGAAGCTAGTAGACTGCAACATCTTTGTTATTCTTGTTACCATTTTTATTATATTAAAGGGAAAAGGGAACTAAATGTGAACTGAGTGGACTTGTCAGCACTCAGTGTATTTCTGTGTAGATTCTGTGTGAAAAAGATGAAGAAATTCTGAGAATAAAGAAGTCTGACAAAGTGCAGGAAACACTTTACCTCACTATTCTTCCTCTTTCCATTTTTTCCCCCAAATCTTTGTTTGGTTTCCCTTTTTTTTGGCAAAAATGATAGAATGAACATATGTGTCAAGTTGAATAGAGGAATGACTATTTATAGTCCTATTAAAAAAAAAAAAATTCACTCTTTGCTGAGTAAAACAACTAAGAAAACTGAAGCCTTAGAATAGCCAGAAGCATTTGTTTGACATGAAAGTATATGTACATGACGTACAGAGGTAGTATCATGACTACTAAAGTAGGACAGTGCCTCTGAAGAAGAAGAGGCAACTTTCATTATGGTGCAAGCCTTTGCTTCTTTTACCTTAATCGTCAAGAGCGCTGGCACCCTTATGTGTGACATTATCCTTGCACCCTTACAGTGATCTTAGGACTATATTTTGGTTCGTGCTTTCATTCAGTACCTCCCCAAGTGTATACTGCAAAGAGGGATCCATTTCTCTGCTTCTCTCCCTGGAAGAACCTCGAAGATTAATATTTCCCCTTTGTATTAAATTTAGTGTCCAATTGCTGCAAAAGCAACAGAGGGAAGACAACTGGTCTCTTGTTTGGAGATGAGAAGCGGCTAAAGTTGGTCACACCACCTAGGCAAATCAAAAGGTTTCCATAGGTTCCTTCCTTTAGGAGTTGTGGGAATCCAGAAGTTTTCCCCAAAACCGAAGTCAGTACAAGCCACATGTATTTTTCAAATGTCAGTTCAGTAAGTTGCATAACCATAAGAAACATACAAATGAATTTCATATTTCTGCAAAATAATTCACACACACACACACAAAATTATATTAATACATCATGGCACCAAGTCCTGAAATACTGAGATGTGTTCAGAACTCTGGTATTTTCCCTGTGTAGGACAAAGAAAGCAAGCTTTTTTTTTCTTTGTTTGAGGATTTTTTGTTTGTTTTATTTTGGTTTTGAAGACATTTTTTAACTTAAAAAAAGTCAGCAGCATATACCACAGAGGCTGAACTGGAATACATATTGTACTTTTGTTTCTAATAATCCAAATACTATGTCTACACTTAGCATAAGAATCAAGGTTTATTTTAATTGATATTTTAAATAGGTCTGCCAGAATAGATGTTTTATTGAAGTCGAGGAGAGGAGACTTTCAATTTAAAGAAATTTAGAAAAACATTTTAGGAAAATAAATTTGGATATAAAAGATATTACGAATGTATCTTAATAACAATAGCTGTACTCCAAAAGAAATAGCTAATTTAATCATATTATATCAATTCAAATATTAATTCTTATGGTTAAACACAACTTTTAAACTACATTTTATATAAAATATTTTTCTATATTTTAAATAGTAGGTTGGCTGGTTTTCCATAGGAGATTTGTCTATATAATCGGAAGTCACCCCAGGTTTAAAAAAAAAAGATAATCAGACCTATTGATGCTTTATCTTTTTTATGCCACATATCAACTACAGACATAGCCTTCAGCATTATGACAGAAAGAGTCTATGATATGAGGTGTCTTCCTTCCCCCATCTTGCTCCCAGAAAACATTATTACTCAGAAATTTTCACAGCTGGAAAGAGGGTAAAGAAATATTTGAAGGCAATTATTTTCAAGTAATTGATAACTCATTTTAATTAAAATATTTCTGAAACTGCATCTGAGCATTTAGTATGTAGAGTGCAGTGCATAGTCTGCTATAATGTGGAGTACTATAAAATGGAAAAAAGAGCATCCTGGTTTTGTAAACACATTTCCAGTGCCTGGAAAATTCTCTTGCATGAACTGTTTTGTGTTGTGCCAGGTGCTGCCACCTCTGCAATCTTTCCTGCAGTAGTTTATGGCTTTGTCTAAGCTGGGGTGATTGCGCACGATGGTTTATACAATGACGAATTGCTCTTCGCATTTACAGGTCTCGGTACACTGTTAGGTTTAGCACTGCTATATAAAGCATTAAGCTTATTACATCCAAAAGAATTAAATTATACTGAGGCAATTTGATTACTTGTGTCTAAAGGAAGACACAATTGCAATGAGGTAAAAGCTTGAAGTGAATGTTGTTACAAGTAATGCTTTGCAATTAAAGAAATGTAATTTCTCAAGCATTTTCATGAAATATGTTTTCCCTTTTATTCAGTTCATTTGCCATCCCTGTAAAAATGTCTTTTGACTTCCAGATGTTTCAAAGTATGAAAGCTGATTGAGCTTTTTAACCTTATTTCAGTGTTTATATACACTACACAAAATATTGTGTTCTCAGTCTGTATCAGAAATTCTGGATTTGTTGGATTTCTTTCAAAATGTTAAATGATAGACATATTTGTTTAATATTTTCTTGCAACATCTAGGTCTGTGTTTGAACTGTAATACAAAAAAAATATAATAGCAGTTACTAATTTCAGTCTGCCAAAATTAAACCTGCGATGAATGGAAGCTGGTTGATATTTCATTAGCATTATTTTCAGTTGAAGCAAATGTAAAACATAAGTGCCTCATGGTGGTCTGCTAACTGCTGGAGGAGAAAGAAGACTGCTGAAGTAAAAGCAACACTGGGCAAATCAACAGATCCCTGCAGAAGCAGGTTATTAAAAATCAGCACGTCACCTTCAGAAGCAGGCAGTGATGCAGTGATGGCAAGTGCTGTCTCATGGGCAGCCTTCACATCACAGCTATTTTCAGCAATATATAATTTGATAATAATTTTCATCTCAGCACAGTTTAGCATATTTATTCCTCCATAAGTTTTAATTCCGCTTAAGAGGAATGATCCTATCAACATAAAGAGGTCGTAAGGATTGCTGCATGATCAGATTAACCTCTCTTCAGCTTCATTGCCTCCAAGCTTTAGATCACTTCTCCTTGATTTTTAAAACAGTTTGTGTGCTATTTCCAGGCTACTCTTTCCAATTTGTTGACATTATACTACATTTATTTAATATTATCTATTGTTTTACTTATCTTTATTAATATTTATAGGCCTATTCCCACCATATAGCCTGATTCCACAAGGATAACATTACCTAGACACTATATTTTAGGGCTTTTCTCCCTCTTTATTTTTTCAACTTTTTATTTTGTAACTAGTTGGTTTTACCATACATAAAAAGAGTTCACATTGACATTAATAATGATCTTTTTCCTTCTTCACAAACTGAGGTGAACAAACAGCTGTTTGCAGAACAGCTGATTGCAGAACCAGAGCCATCAGAAGTTCCCTTAAGACTAAAGGGATACAGATTTGTGAATCTTAGCTTACTGTGTGAGAAGTTTGTAAATGCTTGCTACGGGGCTTGAAATGATAGAAGTGAATTTCCTACTGTGGTTGCTTACAAGAACCCTACACCCTTATTCTTTCTCATTGCCTCTGTTGAGTTTGAAACACCTGATTACTGGGGGTTTTATTTGGAGAACTTAGAGAGAATGTTGACTTTGTTTCCATCCAGGATAAAAATATGTAATGAAAGAAAACAGACACAACTTAGGGTTTTGCCTAACCAGGGTTTATGCAGTATGCTTATGCTTCAGGACCTGCTTAAGAGTTTTTTAAATTAGTGCCGTTGTTATCCATATGTTTGCTTGAGAGATAGTCAGGCAATAATTCCTTAACCACATTTCCATGAGAAATCTTCTGTTTTGTATTGTTTTACAGACAGTAATAACATGTCTTCAAAAAAAATTTGGTAATCAATATATTGGGTATCAATATATTGCTACTGGGTTTTGATATTGTTAATTACCTGTATTGTTGTTAATTGTGTTTGTATTTGTAATATGGTATATTAAGGAATGTATGGTATTCCATAACTGCTAGATTTCAGGCAGGATGTTCAATTTAATTCTGACTTTTCAAGGCCCAGGTTCTTAGGATAATTCAAATCTTTGTATTAATTACCATGCAGAATATAAATTGATGCCTATTTATTCAATCTGGATAGCTTCAAGTGGAATAAATAACACATGGGAAATGTGCTATTCAAAATCTGAGCCTGAACTGTGTTGCAGTCATTGTGCATGAAGCAAATTTATAACCATTTTGAGTAGAGCTGGATCCAAGCAGTTTATTTACGTATGAGACTCGCTTATTTCAGAAAATCCACTGAGCACTAATCCTGACTTTGTTTCAGTTGACATTGAAAAAAGAAAAAGAAGATTGCAGTGCTTTCTAAAGTGTTTACTCCAAAGGCTGGAAACCTTAACCCATGCTCAAATTAAGGATTTTTCTTTTGTAGAAAAAACTTGGAGATGTGGAAGTGTTCATTTTTTCTAGCAAGTCTGAATTATTGCTGTTTCTATTCAACCCAAAGAAATAATTTCTCTTATGCTCTTCCACCTTTCTTTTTCACCTCTTGAAAAATAAAAGAGTCTATATTTAAGAATAGGTCTCAATTTGCACACTAAACCTGCAATTTTCCATTGTGTTTACAAGTCAAAATTATTTATATCTACTAATTTCAATCTCTGTGTTTGTTTACTAACAGAGCAAGTGTCACTGTAGGTAAAACTGCATGTAAGTATTTTCAGAACTATTAAAAAAATTAATTGTTTTCATTACATCTCATATCACTTCCCAAGTATTCAGTTTAGACATCCTGAGCATTTTCTTGAAGAATATAATTTCATTTCAGTATGAAAGCAATAAAAGAAGATAGTTATACTTCTGGATTTTTTGCTTGTTTTTCTACTGTTGCTTGTTTTCTCCATGTCTTCAAAATAATCAAAGTTGTGTGTGATTTCATGAATGTGTCTTTGTGTAAGATACAGCTGCAGAAGAAACAAAATGGATTCTGATGAAGGGTGAGGGAGATATTTTCAATGACTAATGGCTTTGTATTGTTGCCTGTCTGCTCAACAGCAATGCATTAGACAAAAGAAATCAATGAACGAAGACTTTAAAAAGTGAGATAGAAAGGTACAATAATGATACTGGTACAAATTCTCTCTACCTCTTCAGAGCTATAGATAAAAGTGTTTGAATATTGGGTAGATTAGGATAAGGATGCTTGGCAGGAATAAAACATAGATAAAGGATAAGAGGTTTCAGAGGAAACCACAAATATCAAAAATCCTGCAAATAGCTGGAAGCTTGAAAAGAAAGAGGAAGCCATCAAAATTGTGCCATTGATACCAGTTCAAAACAAGATGAATTTTTGTTTGTTTTCTTTTAAGTGGAGGGATTTGCTCACAAAGAGGATTTATTTATTTATTACTTTTCCCAAAGGCTTTTTACCTTGCAAAAAGTAATATAAATTACTTTGTTTCTAAAATCATGTGTGAGCACAAACATGCTGTGACAAGTTCCCCCAAGGAAAGTCCTGTAGGGTCCAAATCCCAGCTGAAATTCCTGAGTGAGCCACGCTGAATGTTTGCTACCTGACTGCTGGTTGGAGTGACTAGATTTCAGAATACTAACTTGAAAGGTAGAAAAGCCTGAGGATCTGTACATCTGGCAGTACAGGTGGCTGCTCATTAAACCAAGGAGCACCATTGGAGATTTATTTTGAATTCTATCACTCCTTACAAAAATATTATGAAATTGCAAAAGTAACCTTCACTGATTATTTTCTATTGAATTTTTATTAATCAATATCTCTTCCTGAACTGCATTTAAATTAATAGCCTTGAGCAGTTTGTAATTGATCCTGCAGGTCAGCTACCCTGATGCACAGCACACATCGACTTTCCTCCCTAGTGATGTTTCGTCTTCCAATGTAAACTGGAGTAAAAGAAAGAAAGATAGAAGAAGAAAGAAAATGCTATTGAATTGCAGCTCACCTTATTCCACCACAGAATGCAGCCACAGCCTGCACCTAGGCTCAAGGTCTAACAGCACCTGCAGTTTGGATGAACCATTAATTCCAACAGAAGCAGCATGACACTCAGAGTTGAGAAGGACAGTCACTTTTGAAATGGAGTGATTTCTGAGAATGATATAGGTTGGATATTAGATAACCAACACAAAATCCACAGTTTTCTAAAAAACAATACTCTTTTTTCTTCCAAAATCACCCCAGCAATAGTTTCAGTTACAAAGAACACAAGGCATCGTGTCACCAGCTTGCTGTCCTGATTATTTTCTTGAGCATCAGCTTGAAAAAGATTGAGTAGTTTCTGTCTGTGTGCATCCACGCATCTGTTAAGCTAAATAGATTGAAGGGATTGCAAAATACTATCAGGCAAAGAACTGATTTCTGTGCTTTTTATAGATGGAAATGACTAGCTACTCAAAGTAATTTTTTTTATTTCATAAAATAAACACAGTAACTTAAAATACAGAGTAATGTCTAAAGCTTAAGTTATGCCATCCTTATCAAGTTTCTCAGAAAACATGTATTATGTCTGCTGTTTGGATACATGCAAATACATTATCAGTGTGAAAGAACCTCAAATAAATGAATATATCAAATATTACCAATACTGGATGTTCTTATACCATGTGAATACCAAAAATTTCCATGAAAAGCCTAATCTTAATAATATTAATTCAACAGCAAAAAGGATATAATAATATTTCCTTTCCTTCCCCCATGACATACTGTAGTTTAAACCATAAGTGTTTATTAATTTATGTAAAATTCTGCTCTGGGTTTGCATATAGCTTGGTGTAAGAAATTATTGTTTTATCTGACTAGGCACATATGAATCATTGTATGATAGTTTGATGCATACATATATATATATATATATATATATACATATGTATGTGTATATAGATATAATGCAGCTGTAATAAGCTTGGAGAGGATCACAGGAGGTGGTTGCAGCCACCACAAGCCTAAACAATCTAGAGCATCATCTTCACATTTAATGCCATTCATCATCCTGCATGAATTATGTTAGGGAATCAACTGTTTAGCTGCTTGTGGATAGAATGTACACAGGTGTAAAAGAACAAACTCAGCGAAGTCAGAGCATAAATTACCATAACAGGAGTAAAATGGCACAAATATATCTGAAATTCTTGTTATTTTCATTTTTATAAAAGCAGTTCAAGTAAACTGCAGCCATGATTTTAAGGTAACCATATTTCCAATCACTAGGAGCTGTACTATTTTAGGCTTAAAATCCTTAAATGGCAGTTTTCTTTATTCTGCTCTGCCTACAATAGAAAAATTTGAAACTAATGGCAAAAAAAAAACCCAATGAGCTGTGTTTCTTCCATCTGTATAGTTACAAAAAGAAGGAAAACAAGGGGAAAAAACACATAAGTATCTACCAGGTTCTGCCCTGATCAAGATACTTGCCTCATTGTGTCTATTATAAATGTTTTCACGACTTTGGTTCAAATTTGGATCTGAAACAAAATATATATTTGCTACTTATTGAGAATGTTATGGGAATAACATTAATATACAAAGGTAGCAATACCTCTTTAACAAATATTATCTAGTCATAACATTCTGGCCCATGGATTGCTGAAACAATTGTTACTGGGGAGAGGTTCTGACAGGAAGACTAATATCCCAAAGTAAATTTGTTTTCAGGTCTCTTTTTAGAAAGGCTTTCTTTTTTCAGTTTATTGCAGAAGGATTGTGTAATGGGGGACGTGGACATTTCCCTGCATGTGCCTTTCCCTGAGGGCTTCATGGAGGAAGAATTATTGTAAACTCACAATATGCTCTATGGAGCCAAAAGACAAGAAGATTCTATGGGGACACTGCTGCTCAGACATACGCACTCTGTAAAATTTGTAGAACTCCTTGTATGGGTCTCTGCCACTCTAACTACCGGCATAAAAGCTCTAAGAAATTTCTGTCTAATGTAACAACATATTGATCACAAGCTCTTACAATGACTTTTCTAAACGAGATGTTACAAGATAATAGCTTCCATGTCTCTATGAGCTACTAGCAAAACTCAACAAATTTCTCTTTTTCTCTTTTTTCAGATTTTTTTGAATGCCTTCTTTTTGATCTCAAGTTGCTCCATATCCATTGTTAGTTTTCTCTTCAATACCCACCTCTCTTAACTATTGGCTTATTGTTATATCTGGATTTCCTTATTTGTTGTGCTTATTCTCTTTGCTTTTCATCAGTTTTATCTTCCTGTTCTATTCTGGTTGCATTTCTAGAAATGTACTGTAGGAATCCCACTTTTGGAAGTGGGATTAAACATTTCTGTGACTCTGATAAATTGTCCCAAGACTTTTTGTTATTAAACATCTTAAAATTGTATAGAGATGCTTAATTACTTCTATCAGATGAGGAATGAATAAATGCACCAAGAACAACACAGTGTTGTCTTATTATTTAGCAGGCAAAACACTATGCCCAGATATCCTGATCTGATGGAATTAGGAAACTGATTGCAACATAGACTCAGTTCACTTCATATTACTATAACTACTTATATTTTAGTAGGTATAGTAGGAATGTTTACCATGAAACAAGCAAGCAAAACAGAAAATAGAAAATTTGACAGAGCAGTTGCATTTCATTCAAGAAGATAACTTTAATAACTGAAGTAACCTTCAGCTGCAGCTCCTGATTCTTTTAGGCTTGAGGTAGAAACAAATACAGGAATTACAAATTCTTTCATCTTTGGACACTCACTTAAAACATATCACAGTGGCCTTGAGACATTATGAAGACCACAAGCCACCATAAGGTAAGCCTGAAGACCAGCTGAATGGTTCAGACAGACCAACATGCAGCTTCTTGTCTTTCTTAACATAGATTAAATCAGCTCACCCAATTTCTGTGCTTGTTGTTTGGTTTCTTTTCAAATCCTACTCTACTTCAAAATATTGTCATATGTGCCTTGAAAGGATTGTTAACTACTTTTGAAGGATAATCTATCATGCTGCACATTACCAGGGAAACCTCACGCTTAACTTTGTAAGATGAAAGGGCCCAGATTCAAACTTACCAAGTGTGGATTCAGGGAATTCCTATAAAATGGATCCTGGATGAAAAAATAATGTTTACTGGAGTTTTGCTGCCTCTAGGACATCCCTTTTGGTAAGTCTTACTGATGAAAGAAGCTGTGAACTGGCTCTGATATACCCCCTCAGAAATAACAAGAAGTATTTTATACCTCTGAAATGAGCAACTTTTAATCTCTGGGAGATAGTTTACGTAATAGATCCATTGACTATCCAGGGGAAATGGTGAACTTCTAAAGCTTCCTAGTATCTTGCTGATACAATCTATTGTAGTGCCAGGAGAAATTTGTGCAAAATACTGAAGAAACAGTTCTGACACTATTGTGCTGAGATTATCAGAATTGCTAAGAAAACTGACACAAAAAACTGGTAATGCGTAGGTTTCAAAGCTGGTTTAATCTAGTGTTTTTAGAAGATTAAAGACAAGCACTAACAACAAGCACTTCTTTTTAAAAGACCTTTTATTGAAAAGAATGCCCATAATACCTCTTATCCAATCCAGTATTTTATCAGTCATTTATTTACAATGTTTATATATATATATATATATATATATATATATAAATCCAAAATAAAAATGATAAATGAGGCAGCATTCCTTAGAAGAAGTAGAACAGCTTTTTTTTTTTTTCCCCCCCCCACTGGACAGATAGTTTTCTAACTCAGTATCTTCATTATTCAGTATCTTTATTATTGTAAACCGAAAAATACTTAAAGGACGTTCTGAACTGCAAAAGAACACACCAGATATTGGTCTGTGGTTCTTTTGCATGTGTATAACATAAAAAATATTTAAGAGACAGCTTTTGCATAGCTGAGATTGTTAAAATCTTACTTTTCAGACAACACCTGAGGCCCTACTCTGAAGCTGATAATAGATAGCTAGTTGGGAAAATGAACATGCAGGTAACTATAACTGAGCAGCTAAACATTTATCTTGCATGCAGGGCACACTGATTTAGAAGGCTTTGAGAAGTCTCATTACAAGCAAGTGTTAAATACTAAAAGTTAGTCTGTGAGCCAGACAGAATTCAGAGAACCAGAGATAATGAGACTATAAAGATGATATGTAGCTAGCAACAGTTGTGGCTTGCTTAGTGATACATGTAAACACAGTCTGGTTGGACACTTAACAGGATAAATGTGGAAAAAAATAGAAAGGATAAAGCAAACAATACATCAAATGGTTGTGGGCAGTTTTCAGTACATGCATGTTCTCCATTAATGCTAAGAAGAAATAACAAGCCATAACTACTATCTGCAGAATGAAAGCATTCAAGTTTTTCCCACTGAAAACATACTTGCTCCTGTTACCCTTTCTCCAGTGTTATTGTTTGTTCTATGTAATGTGTAGCTCTCAGGATCCATGCTGGCTTTAATTCTTCAAAGGCAGTTACTTCCCTACTTTCCTGCCCTAACAGCATTGTCTTGTCTCCTCTCTTCACTTCCTCAGGTGGCTCAGTCAGAGATAAGATTAAAAAAATTTGCTGGAATGACAGAAAATTGTAGTCACTGTGGATGGGAAAGTATGTTAGGTGTCTAAATAAGAAAACCTATAAAAATGGAATTGTTCAATGAGAAAAAGTCTCTAGCATGTTAGCTGGGGAGGCTGCAGAGTCCTTGTGACAGAAGGCAGTAAATGATGGGTAGGGCAATTAGTTGTTAGGGATGACACAGATTCAGCTCACTATGCTTTAGAGAGATACGGACTCAAGAAATTACTGCATTTTGTACCATCTCAATGAAAATAATTTGAATAAAACTAAGACCACAATTTTATTCTCAAGTAGGCTATTTTCTGAGCAGGTATTAAAATCACTGTGTTTGGGCTTTCTTGTTTGCTTGCTCTTGTACATAATTATACATTATGCTTGTGGAAATCTCTGTGTAATTATACAGACCTCATATTAGTTTTAGCGGTGGTCTTTGGCATTTAGATATCTGCATATCTATTTGCTGTTTTTGTTATATTCTTCTTTTTGTATACCCACTAGATTTGACAGGAAGTCACCTAGAATGAGAAATAATGCAATTGCTATTGATACAATACTTGTAGCTCATCTTATTCATGGTAAGGTTTTACAAGGTTAAATTAAAACGCATGACACCTAAAATAATTTTATTTATTAAAATTACCTCAAGCTTCTTTTCACAGAAATTAAACTCTGGCATGGAAACAGCATTGCCATGTCTAATTTAGATAATTTTTTTTACTCATTAGTCTTACTTTGTATGTACCCTTTCCTCTTAATGAGAGCAGAAAGAGAATTTGCAGCCTACTGAGTCAGCCATCATAATTGTAAGCTTGTTTCAGTACTTCTCAAACCACAGGTTTTGTTAAAATTATAAGCCAATTTAGCAACAAAGCCCTGTTAATGAATAGAGTGCAGTAGTGTTTTTAAAGCAGAAGTAAATGATCAGCTCTTCATTTATTTGTTGTGTGTAGAGAACAGAAGGTCTCAGTGCAATAAGATTGTATTTGTGGTGCAGCTGGATCATATGCTGCCCACATTTGCTGATTGTCATGGTGATTTATTGTTGTGACCAAAACTTTCCTGCTTCTGCATCCTAGTGTTTGTTGGCTATTTGGAACATTTATGGCCAAAAGCATCACAAATGTTTTCTAAGGCTAAATCTGTATTAGTAAATTTAACAAGTGCTGTGGAACTTACAGGATGTTAAAACAATAACTGGTAGGTTTAAATTGTTAGATTCATCCTTTAGACAGCTTTAGCATGTTCCCACATGATTCCCAGGGGCAGTTCAGGGGCTAGCACAGGCAGTTTGCAGTTTGCATGCAATCACCTTAATTTGGCAGCTAAAAAAATGTAATAGTCTGGAACTGATTCCTTTTGTGCCAGCGAGCCTCAGTGGCAGGGAAGGATCCTGGGGACATAATGTATCTGCTGATCCTGGTGTTTTGACTGCAGGAAACATCATACAATATATGCAAACCCAGTATTTTTCTCTTACTAGGTTTGTAGTTTCAGACCTAACTCTTTGTATATTCATGTAACAAACAAAAACTTACTCCATCAACAGGGAAGGAGGGGAGGAGGAAGGAGTGGCTGTCAGTGGCTGTCAGTCTTATTACACTGCTGGGGTCTTGGTTAGGAGGTTCTCTTGGTCATCCTGACTTGCCATTGGGAAAAGATGACCTATTATCACTGATTGCTTTATGTCTTCCAGTACTTGACTGGGAGTGGATTATGCTGGATGAAAATGCATGGCTCTTTACTTTTCAGGACAAAAACAGAGGTCCCTGGGCATAATAATGGAAGACTATTTTAGCTGTAATATAAAATTTACTTTCCATGCTTGTAGGAAAAAAAAGATTGATGAATGTTTTAGGCAGGCAACTTTCATTTAAGTTGCTTGCTATATCTCTATAGCTCTTCAGAACCTCTTGGTTTCAGATTAAAAAAGTTATCTTGAACAAAGAGGCAGTTTCTGTATAAATTTTTTCTCTTCCACTTGTTACTGCATACAAGAAAAAAACTGAGAATACTAAGCAATGGACTGACTTTTATACTTAAGTTATAATAATATTGTTCCTTTATCCCTGTACTAAGAGGTGCAATATGCTTTTTTGGGTTATATACCATAGGGTCTGAGCAGAATCATGATCCTGCCTTAAAGACAATTCTTACTAATTTCCCAAACTTTTTCCAAGTTGAAAAATCTTGAACACAGTATTTAAATGTGTTTTTCATCTACTCAATAATTTTTGGCATCTCTGTTGGAACAATTAAGATTATAGATTACACTGGATTAGTGCAAGTCAATGAATTTAAAATAATTAAAACACCATTATTAACCAAGACTTATCAGCAGGAACATCTATTTGAGGATTATATTCTCCTTTCCCAAATAATTATATTTCATATTTTTCATCATTTATATGGCCCTTCAGCTTCTGGAAAAGCTCCCCAAGTTAAATATTCAATAGAAATTGGGTGCGATTTTAAACACTAACACATCAGAAGTACCTTCAATGGTAGTGGGAGTGGGGCGGCAGGTGTCTGGATGGGAGAAAAGAAAAAGAATGTGGTACTCCTATCTTATATTGACAAAAATATAAATAGCAGGGTGGGGGAGGGGGAAGTTTGTTGTCAATCCCATTTTCTCATTAAAACTGTATACAGTTCAATTAGTACCTGCAAATGAGGCTTTTGTAATATTAGCCCAAACACTGACTTTCTTTGTTCTCTGTATAATTACTTCTGATAATTTTTAAAAAGTGGGGTAGAATCTCCTCCAACAATCCTTGTTTCTCGCAGTGATATGTTTGTATGACCCTTCCAGTCACCAAAGAATCCACATACAGGCAATTCACTAACTCTCATTCAACTTCCACAGATGATTACTTCCCTGAAATGAGTAGGACGAGACTCATCTGAGTTGTCTTTTTAGCAGAACAGAGAAAATAACAGCTAAATCAGCTACAGTTCTGTATATCCATAAAACCTGAGATGCATAAATCACAATTTTAAATCCCAATCTTCTTTCCATGTCTCCAGGGAAGGAGAACAGAAATCACAGATATTCAGACTAGATTTCTTCAGTGCTATTTGCACTGCAAACAGCTAGAACAAGTCAGCACACAGAATTAAGCTGATGGAAGTAAAATTTTGGCCACGGACAGAAAGAGTAGGGTAAAAGCTAGAAATGAGTCAGAGATGACCCTAAGATAACAAGCAGTGTTTATAGTTCTTATAAATTCCTCCCAAATGACAAGATTTTTGTTGGTCTCATAGTGACCCTGTGAAGCTCCAGCTCACTCAGGAATTTCTGACTGTTTATTAAAAGTCCCCTTTTCCAAATAGTCCTGAAGCTATGAAATGAGTGAGGGGCTAGGAGACAGAGCTTAGGAGGGAACTGTTCAGGGCAGGAGATGCAGAAATGGGGCAGAATGTGGAATTGTGGGGAACAAAATGATAGAGCTTATTTTGGAGCTAGGGCAACAGGTGTGACTGCTGACAAGTGAGAGTTCTGGAAGTTCCAGAGGATGATAGCTGCAAGGTATACTGGATACTGGACCTCACACATGCTGGGGATGGGGAAAGGCACAGTTCACCACACGCACAAATATATTTCTCTTAAAAATCTCATCATTGATTGGTGCTACAGTTCATATCTATAAGGGCAAAAATGCTAGAATTGAGTGTGAGGAGAAAAGTGATTGCTAGTGGTTTGAGAGAATTTATTCCAGGAAGATGTCTTCTTTGGTTTAGCAGTAGCCTAAAGACAAAACAAGAAGAGATGAGAGTACTATATGCATGAATGTGATCTCCATAGGAACTAAACCTTTTTTAATTGTCCACATGACATTAAGCACAGTCATCCTTTGCAAGACCAAACCTGTTGTTAAACATGACAAAATACACGTTCAAAAAGAAAAATAATAAAAAGTCCAACAAAAATAATACACTACAAAGGAGGTGCTAAGGCTTCTGAATCACAGTTGTATACTTTTTCTTGTTTTACAATCAATATGAGGCAACATCTCTACTATGTCCAAATTATGAAACAGAAATCGTGCATTAAGCACTGAGATAGTGTATTAAGCAAAGAGACATAACATCAGATGAGAACTGATGTGAAAAAGTTGTGGGTAATTTTTAGAATTTTTTAGTTAACAGCCTAGAAGGCCCCAGTGACATATAAGGACTTTCTCCATGTGTTCTGCAATTCTCTGTGCACAGAACATCTGAAATCTGCTGTTAAATAGGTGTCTCCCCCATTGGAGAGGATTTCTAACAACAGGCAGTTGATTTCACTGCTAATATACAGAAGATGCAACTTCTGCCTATCACCATGATTTACCTTACTCTCTAGTTCCAAATTAGGGAGCTAAGAGTAACCACAGTATCTCACTAGTGCTATGCAATTCCCATGGCCTCAGAAGAGAACTGGGAGATAAAGCCCATCATGGGAGGTTCTTCCTTCTTCATGTAATGCCCAGTAGATTTGGAGGTAGCACATGAGACAGTGTACCTATGGGTATCTGCTAACTAGGTAGCACAAGAGATTCAAGAAAGCATTGTGATCTCGAGGCCAGTGGAAAATAAAAGATCTTTGTTCAATCTCAAAGTGAATAAATAAAAGACTGGAAGCAATTAAATTAAAAATTAGAAGAAGAGGAGCCATGAACAGTGACTATAACAAAGATAATGCAAGTGTAGAGAAGAATGAAAGCAGAGCAGCAATTTATGTTGTATCGAGTGATCACAGCCCACTTGTGTTGACAGAGAAAGAAATTAGTGGATAGGAAGAGGCTCAGGCTGAAAAGAGCACTGAAAGGGACTGGGAAGTTTGGGCTGGAAGAAACAGAGTGCTTTCATAGATGGATATGTTTGGAGTGAAGAAAGTGCATGAATTTCCAGTTTCAGCTCTAAAATCAAAAAAAGAAAGCGGTTGAAAAAAAGAAATAAGTAAGACACATACAGTATTATCCACTTGTTTTTTCTAGGATGCTCTTGTGAAGAGAGATGAGTGAAGAGGAAAGGGACAGAGGAAAGAAGCTACCAAAAAGTTGGTATCCTCTGCAAAAATGTGAGGTCAGAAAGTTGGCCAGACCGTGACTGCAAGGCATTGACCTCATAAGGCATAAGATCCTCTTACTGTATTTTCTCAAAAATGTTGTATTCTGAAGACTTAATTTTTTTCAAAACATAATTTGACAAAGCTCTGGCATCTGACAAGTCCACTAGCATCGTTAAGATTTAGTCAAATTAATATTATCTGCCTATTGTGGCTTCAGTGTACTTTGCCCCTGGCACAGGATGGCAGGGAACTAAACCCGAGCAATTAAGCTGATAACAAAACGCTCCCCATGCCCGCCGCCAGCGCCCGCGGAGGGGCACGGCCCGGCCCGAAGGGACCCCGCGGGACCGAAAGGACCGCCCCGGGGAAACCGCCGGGCCGCGGGGCGGGCACCGCGCTCAGCCCCGGGTTTTTGCCGCGCGGTAACTCCGGGACCACCGCTATCTCCTCCGTCGGCAGAGCGGAGCAGAAGCACCCGTGTAAGCGGGGCTCCTGTGAGCGGCAGAGGCGAGACCCCCGCCGCGGGGGCGATGCCGACAGCCCGGCCGGCCCCTGCGGACGGGCAGCCAGAGCAGCACCACGGACACTGCCTCGGCCTCCCGCCAGCGGCAGCGGTGGGACCGCACCGCGGGGCCGGGGCCGAGCCCGCAGCTGCGGTCGCGCTCCGGCGGCGGGGCACGGCCATCCCCGTGGGGCGCGGGTGCCGCGGGAAGGGAGAAGAGGGTGTTCTTCCCGACTCTCGTCTCAGCCGTGACCGCGAACAACCTGTGTTTACACAGGGCGACTCCCGGGCTCTCAAGTTGAGCGCTGAGACAAAATTTACTGCGGTTATTCCAGGGGAGGGAAGAGCTCTGATGCTTGCGGCAGCGGCGGCGAAAGGGACCGGAGGGAGAGAACGGGCGGGGGAAGCGACGGCGGGTCAGAGCGGCACCGGGGCTCTTCTTGGACGGTTTTACTCGTTAGCAATTTGGCAGTAACTTTCCCATGCAGCTCCTTTCATTTGAAACAAATGTTTAGCCGAAAATATCAGCGTAATGTCTCAGAGATTCACCACCTAATCGGACATGAGCCGCCTTCTCGGTCACTGAGACCCGCCGGGTCCTCCCGGTGCTTGGCGAGCGACAGCCTTGCCCCCAAGTGATTCCCGTTCTGTCCCCAGGTGTCCTGCTGTCCTTGTCCTCGGTGGAGCCCGGTGCCTTTCCTCTTCCTTTCCAATAACCCCCTATTTTGGGCAGTCGCCTGTTATTCTGGGTTTCTGTGCTGGGGCGACCTGCGGCTGTGACGGTGTCAGCCCGGCGGAGGCGGGAAGAGGGGGAGAACGGGGGAGACGGAGTAACAGACATGGACCTCACGGTGCCACTGAGCTGGCTGCCTTCCAACCTTAACGCTGTGATTTTTTTCTCCCCACGATTATTTTCTGTTATCGGTGCTACATGACCGCGCGGAGCTGACCTTCTTTCTCACTGGCCGCGGGAGCCCCGCTCGCATCGCTCCCCGGCCACCAGAGGCTCGGGGTTTTTCCGTCTTCCCATCCCCACGGCCACCCCGGAGCGCTCCCCCCGCCGCCGCGCCGGTCGCCCCTCTCCTCGCGTGACCTTCCCAACATGGCGGCGCGGCCGCCCCTGCTCCTCCGCCCGCCGCCGCCGCGAGGGGCCTCCCCGGCGAGGGGGCGGTGGCGGCTGTCAGCCGGGCGGGGCGGGACCCGGCCGGCAGCGGGCGCGGGGCCGGGCCGGGCGGTGCGGGGCGGTCCCGGCGCCGCGCACTCTGACAGGCGCTCGGCCAGCAGACGGCGGCCGTGCCGGGGTGCAGAGCCCGCCGAGCACCCTCCCACCGCCGCAGAGGAGCCGACGGGGAGACGGCGTCGCCTCGGCGGGGAGACGCGGCGCTGGAAAGCCCCGACCGCCCCCATACCTGTGCCCTCCGGGGGCGGCGAGTGGGTGTAGCCGCCGCCGATCACCTGGGAACCCGCCCCGCAGCGCCTCCGCCTCCCGTCCTCGCCCGCCCGGGGAAGGCGCCACCGCCACAGCGAGCGAGCGAGCTCCGGGCGGCCGCGGGCAGCAGGACCGGGGCCCGCGGGCGGAGCGAGGCGAGGGCTGCGGCGCCGGTGGGGCTCGCCCGCTCCCGGCAGCCGGGGCGAGGCGGGCAGGAGGGGCGGCGGCCCCCGGCCGGCGGCGCCTGCGGCGCGGGGCGCTAGAGCCGCGGCAGGATGAACCCCAATGTCACCTACGCCAGTCGCAAGCGGCGGAAACCTGTGCAGAAAATGTAAGCGGGCGGGCGAGGGGCGAGGCGAGGCGGGGAGAGCGAGCGCCGGGCTTCCCGGGGGCGCGCCGTCCTGCCCCGCACCGCGCCGCGCCGCGGGGGCCCGGCGGGGGCGGTGCGGGGCAGGGGCGCCGGGAGCGTTGCTGCTTCGCGGTGCCGGCAGGACTCTCGCTGCTTTTAGGGCTTTTCCCCTCACCCCGAAAAAAAGAAGAAGGGAGTGTCGGGGCTCGGAGGGTCGGGGCGGTGGAAGGAGGGCGCAGCCGGCTGACCTAGATTGGGAGGCATCTGAGGTGACGGCTCCGCGCGGTGGCTGCGCTCGCCCCGCCGGGGTGGGTGCCGTGGGCGGGGGCCGCTCTCCCCACCGCGCTCCCGCTCCGCACCGCGCGGCCGCCCGCCTGCTCAGGTGTCCCTGCGGGGAACGCGGGCTCGGAGTCCGGAAAGGCTGGGCACCGCTTGGGGCCTGCCTGGGAGGGCTGAACCCTCGGCTTGAACCCTCCTCTTGAATTCTCCGGTACCGCATGGGATGCGTTTATTTGTGCAAAGAAACCCAAGTGCTGTAGACCAGTCAGAAGAGGGGGGGAGGAGGGGGGGAAAGCCTGGCTATATAGTGACATTTTGTTTATTAATTTATATTTCTGCGACTGTGGGAACTGTTTAGTGACAGAGTAATTTTGTTTGCTGCACCTGCCTTAGGTTTGCATCCTACGTTTTATATGCTTCATTGAAACATTGATCTCATGAGAGGGTAATTTTTAGGCTAGAGGAGATGCTTAACTTGCACTTTCAACTGAAAGTCAAGAATCTGTAGGTTATAAAAAGTAGCGAAGGTAAACTACTGAGTTGCAAGAAAAATAAGCAAAGCTCAAAAAATCCAAGTGCATTTCTGTGGGCTACTTCTGTAGATGTAAAAAAAAAGTATTCAAAGGCTTTAAAGGAAGGAATGGGAAATATTTGATGAAATCATATTGTGAATGATGTGTTTTTAGATTCATAGCAGACAGTGTGGTCTTGGGGTGAAGGGGATTAGCCTGAGTGCTTGCTTCTTTATGTTTGGAGTTGTTAGAATGAATGCATGTACATAACCTGGGTTTTTTACCCTGCAAATTAGCGAAAAAAGTCTAAAAATGTGTATATGTATATGTAAATGTGTGTGTGTGTGTGTGTGTATATATATATGTCTCTCCATATATATATATAATTCCCCTGCTAGAAAATGCATTAATTATGAAAAGACCAGTGCCTGCTTTTTTGACCATTCATTTCTAAATTAAAATTGAGAGGTACCTAATTAAATTCACTGTAGATTTGGATTTTTAAGAATGAAATCAGTGTTTGCTTGTGAGGAAACGAAATGTACTGGTGGCGTTTGTAGCCTACTAATAGCTAAAGGCAAATGGTTCTGATTGTGCAAGATGAGGTGGTCTGCCTTGCTGGTGAGATCGCTTAATGTCTAGCTTATTATTAAATTTTGGTTAGCCATGGAGAGAGGATGTGAAACCTTTTTGTTTTGCCTTACTGTAGTGTCTATGTAAGCAATCATTTTCCCTGTATCTTCTTGTTGTGTAAATTGGCTGAACTGCTGTGATTAGTTGAACTTGAGGCTTTATTACTAATGGGAGCTATTTATCTATTGGCCTTAGGATCAGAGGGAAAAGTTTCTTCTCAAAATAAAAGTATTCATAGTGAAGCAGTTTGTTCACTTGTAACTGAAGTGGAGGCTAATTATTAACCCACTTTGCTTGGGTTACTGGAAATTATTTTTTATGTAAGACATTTATCTTGCTTTTAACACATTTATCATGTTCATGTGCTTCTTTTCTTCTCAAAATACCTTATGCTCTTTGGTTGCTTCTTCTGTTGGGCCAGCCTTGGAGAACATTGTTAGTGGGTCAGAGGGCTCTGATTTCTCACATAACTACATACAGACCACACCTTTAAGCCAAAAAAAAAAAAAAAGAAAAAAAAAAAAGTGAGACAGACAAGAAGCTTTTTTCAACTGATTGCAGGAGAGAAGAAAGATGTACTTGGTGCTGGCTTATAAAGGTTTGACACTACTGTCATTTTAATATTTTTGAATTCAATTTGTCCTCCCCTCAGTAGAATTCAGTTATTCAGAAAAAAAAAAAAAAAAGAGAGAAAAGAAAAAGCTAGAGGTGATACATTACTGGGACTAGTATCTTTTGTAGAAGAGACAATATCTGTTGATAGTTCTAAAGTTTTATTTGCCATATGTGTACCTCTTAATGGAGCATAATAATTAGCAATCTGTGTAGACAGCTTATAGAAATGGAAGAAGGTCTAAATATAAAACCATAGTTGCCATGGGAAAAAAAATTAAACAGAAGAAATACTTCTTGTTTCAGGTACAAATAACTCATGAAAACCATGGTCATAACTCTATAACAATTAAAGAAACTTCCTCTTTACAACTCCCAGTTTTTTCTATATGCCTTGTAGAGACCTGGATTTGAGAGGGAATCACAGGCTGTTGTCTGACTGTGCCAAGCGTTGAAATGTGCTTTTTTGATTCAGTTGGGAGTTACATATTGCAGCTGAAAAAGACACACCATTGTGGGGGAACATAATAGGCAGTTGTTCCTGCAATTCATCTTGTTATCTTGTCGTGTAAGGGGAGAGAAGAAAAAGATGCTAAACACGTGCGCTGCAATTGCTTGTAATATGCTACAGAAATCGCTTTCTCAATACCTTGGAGTCCTTCAATTTCCTCCCTCTTTAAGGTTTAAACCCTGTGAGTCCCCCTGGTGGCAGCAGGGCCGGGGGGTGTTTCACTCCCCACTGAGCCTTGGGGAACAATCCGTGGCCCCTGCTTTCTGTTTTTGTTTTTTTTTTTTTTTTCCCAAGTCTTAGACTTCTTTTGTCTAGTGATTATGAAGTGAACTAATATAGTACCATTGTAGTTAGAGGGGAAAAATGCAAGTTTTATGGAAATGGGGTTTAATGCAGATAGATTCTAATGTGAGATGAAAGGTATTATATAAGTACAGCTCCAATGTGCAGCTTTTATGTCTTTTTGCCTATATCTCTGATTTGGTTTGTTTTTCTTTTTTTCAGTGTTTGGATAAGAATTGTTTTGTATAACTGGATAAATGTAATAGACAAGGAATGGGGTGGGGAGTTCTAAATATTTCATGCTATGCAGAGGCAAAAATCATAATGATTTGTTT